CAATCCGGGAGATCGAACACACACCTTTGTAACCAATCAGAAGCAAAACCAATATCAATCGTGACTTGGCTTAAGGCGTGTTTTCCCGCGCTTTTATGCCCGCGGTTGCATTTTTGTTTTGCTACGAATTCTGATTGGTTCATTTCGGTATTTGCGTTTATTGTAATTGGCCAGATTTCTTTCGTGTTTGGTTCAATCAATCAATCAATCAAATCAAAAACTTTATTAATGTGTCGAAGTGTTTTAGCTGAGGGAAAGCCCTCTACTAATAGGGGACACCTACCTAAAATTATATACAATTAAAAAAATTAGTCTATTTACAAAGTTCATAAATACTTAACGAAACTACTTAACTAAGAATTACAAATAAAATTGATCTGTTATATATCTGTTATTGATCTGTTATGTGTTTTTATCACAGTCATAAGAAAACCGCTCTATCGAAGAGTGACATTATTACCTGAATCCACCATATCCTGTCAATGGTCCTGTCCCCTTGGAGGGTGTTTCACTTCAGTGAGTAACCAATCAAACTGATCATCACTTGGCTCATTTCTCCATTGGCAGAAGCCTTTGTCAAAGGAGCACACTCCTGAAAATAAGATGAAACTTACCGATAAGTAATCGCATGGCAATGAAAAAATACCACTACGATTTATGCCCATCTTAAGGTGGCTCCCTAGAATATCTACCAATGACCTACACTAACTGGCATGAGTTAGAAAGGAAAAACCTAGTTATTTTGTCTTTGATTTTTCGTTCCCGATATATAATTACACTTATTTATATATTGTTACTTTTTTGGTAGAGGCCGTTGCCATGGCAACATAGCATCTAAAGAATGGCACATTTTTGCTATATTTTATCTTTATTCCTTATTTTTTTTAATTTCCTTCGGTGAAATTTCTTAAATTTTACCATCTTATGAACGTGATTTTGCCTGGCATTCGGAGAGGAAAAAACATGTGGTCGTTCAGACGATTTTGCCAATATTACCTCTTTGTTATTTTTAAACAATAAAACTTACTTGCCCTCTGAGAAATTTCTTCAAAAAACGGTTATGCGATAGGTAGCGTTTCTGTCTTGAATTGTGCGAATTTTCAAAAAATTTCCGAAGGAAACGCGAGAAAATCCACGGTTAATTTTGACTTTTTTGGGCCATGCTGACGTCATAAAAATCAGAAAAACACACGCGCGGTTTCGATTTTTTTCCTTTGAGCGCGCGCAGATTACTAAAGCTTTTGTCAACAGCGCGCGCTCGGTCATAAAACTATAGTTTAACTCGAGTGACTATTTTTTATCTGATTGATACAGCAAGTATTCCGGCCCTGGTTTGCGAGAAAAGCAGAGACCTTGTTTGTTGTTTGTTTGTTTGCTTGTTTGTTGGTTTGTTTGTGTTTTTGTTTGTTTTTGTTTGTTTGTTTGTTGTCCCATTTTCAGATCATAATCATGATGTTACTCAGGAGTCGATAATAATATCGTTCAAATAAATAAATATATAATATAATAATAAATAACCTATTTTCCATAAAAAAACATTTTCCGACCGTTGACTCGGTTGAAGACTGTTAAACCATGTTAGGTTGGCATCGACCGAGGTTGGACGGTTGCATCTGTTTGTTTGCTCATGAACTACTGAAAACGTCTTTTCGCAGGGTTGGTTTGGGTGAAAAGGGGGGGGGGGGGGGGGGGGGGGGGAGTGGGGTGGGGGGGGGGTACACGCGTTGTCGGTTGGGGTATGACTTTGAATGTAATCAGAGGGTTAAAGAAGCAATTCACCAACCAAAGTCAAATTTTTGTTGTAGCTTTTTCCTAATAAAACACGTCAGAACACAACTAATTAATATTCTCACCTAAACCTAAATGACTGTCCGCGTCGATCTCCTCCTCGCTGACTACTACCATGCATCGTCCAGGTGTAAATGATATCGAAGTCCACTGCTAGTCTCCCTCAAACGACGGGCCCCGTACACCCTCGATGGAGATCTACAGGGAAAACATAATTCTCCTGGCACTGACTCAGAGTAAATTTTACTCTGAGTCAGTTTGTTTTTATAATTTTTAAAAATTGTAAACATTTTTGAACTGTGGCCCTTCTTCAATCAAATCAAATTCTTAAAGGGGCTATGTCACGATATTTTAAAGGGTCCCTTCAACCATGTGCTTTGCGGTCGCCCGTGTTATTGTTTTCATCGCGGAGAACTCGATCTCTCGTGGGGCTAATGTATGCATACTTTCCAAATTGTACTAACTTGGGTCTTCTAAACTGCTTTTTGTGGCCAGAACAAGGCCAGAATCCTGCAAAAAGTAGTTTTTAACTTCAAGCCTATTTTCGCGGCACCCGAAAATGGCCGCCGTAAGAGTATTGGCGCGCAAAAGCACACTGGTTGAGGGGACCCTTTAAGTCATTTTTCTGATGAACAAAATTACTTTCGAATTAAAAGAAACCTCAAAAATAATAGTTCACTAAGATAGGAAAAACACAAAAGAAGTAAGTTATATAAACCGAAAAGGAACAAGGATATTGGTTTTGCATCTGATCGGCTGAGAAGGTGGAGCAAGTTTTTGTTTTAACCAATCACAAGGCGTAGTGAAGCAAAACCAAAGTAATTTCTGGATTACTTTTCGACACCGATTATCTACAACTTACCTTATAAAATCTCCAACAAAATTAAATCGTGCATCCTCCCAGTCCTCTCCTTGATTTCCTATTCTGGTACCAGAACCACTCTCGGTCTTGAATCCTTCTTACTTATTTGATTCACTTTGAGGGAGCCGATCCCGAGGCCCCATTCATGTGGTACTTGAATCTCAGGCACTGGATTCCCAGTCATGTAGCCACTGAGTACCTGGCTTTTTCGCCGACGGTGTGAAGAGATGGCTTCTAGGTAAAATGTTCCACCTGTATGAGGGATATTTGTTGTACTATATAAATGATGTTTTGACGAGTTAGCGGAAATCCGAGTTTAGGACTATTTTTACGAGAACGTGTTCTAAAATGTTTCGCGAAATCCCCTGAAAATGTTTTCACATATATGTCATTTAATTTTCAGCGTGCGAGGCATGTAATAACAGTATAGGAAAATTTCCTATACTGTTATTAAGCTACTGATATATTAGATATTCAACTTAGATTCAGGATCATAAAGCAATCCGAGAAAACGTTATATGATCAGTTTTATCTGTCGTATCATAAAGATAGGGCGTGAATTGTAAAATTCAAACCACTTCGAGAAAGTCAAACAAACTGTGCCCTATTCACTTCCAAGGATACTGAGCCAATGTTCAAAATTTAAAAATATAATCCCAATTTGATATTTCGAAATAGAGAAAAACAAACAACTTTGACACGTATGCTGCAGTGATTACACTTACGTCAGGGACTTGATAGCTTATATATAGAAGTACAACGTCAAATTAAATAGACTCGAATTTTGACATCAAATGGGAGTGAAATCCAGTTTAAAGATAATTTAAAGACTAGTTGAAGACTAAGCGATCTTTGCTTTTTAGTATCTCGTGTATCGTAGGAGATACGATTAGTGCATGGTCTTCTAGCTAATTAAGTTACAGTGCGACTACTCCAACCAAAGGCCAACACAAACAATTTTTTTTCAAATTGGAATTGTCCAATACAGTTTTAGTGTTAACACACATAAATGTTGGCCACAAATTTATTATAAATTCTTATAGCTATAGCTAGCATGCAGCTTGCTTGATTTGCCATAATTTGTGGGAAATCTATTGTTAACACCCAAAGGTTTCGCCATTCGCTTGTTGTATTGGGTGGCCTTGGTTGGATGGAGAAAGTGGCACTGTAATGGCTAGGTGCTGATCGCGTTTTATTCAAAAAAACAAATATTCGTTATAATCACAATCTCCGTCGGCATCTGAGAGAGGCCCAGTGTCCCGTGGTCGTTGTTTCTCCACTGCTCATCAGCCAATCAAAATCATCGCTGTCGTCCGTTCCACCCACGAACAGAAAATGACCAGCAATGAACAATTATCTACGAAGGAAGAGATAAAATAACTTCAGAGAAAACTGAAAAATGTAAGAATTGGACCTTCTCGAACTCATTTAATAATTCATCAAGTTAAAACAAAGGAAATCATAACCGTGTCGGAGGTTTGGATACGGCATAGATTTTTACGATTTTTATTATTATTTTATTTACGTTTAATCCTTAGTTTTTGTTTTTGACTGAGAAGATATATCAACACTCGAGACAGTGTTTCACTCGGCTATCCAATTACCTCGGCGAATTTCGTCAAAAATACTCCGCTACGCGTCATATCTTCAACTCCCTTCTCTGTGTTTGGATATCCCGATGAAAAACACTGTCTCTCGTGTTTCATGGTAAGCTTTTGACTCAGCAATGGGCGATGGTGTTAGTTATTGTGATGATGGTCGTTGGTGTGATTCACTAATTGTGGTGTTGGCCGGGTGATGATGGTGATGTGGTCTGGATTTTTACTGAGACCATATCATGGGCACACGCACGTTAACAAAGAGCGTTACACGTTATTTTGAAGTAATTAAGCCATTTCCGAGTTGCCTTTTTCTTTCCGTTTCAAAACTAGTCCCTGATGGAAATGACTTTTACCACTTGCACGCTGTCTTGCAAATCAAACTCTTTCCATATGAAAGGTTCTGCACCAGGACTCGGTTTTGAAACCTGAGCAAAAAGGCAACTCGGAAATGACGTACTGCCATGTGATAGAAAGCTTGAATGGAGATTCAGTACATGATGTTGCTTACTTTTCCGGAGAGTAGTGTGGGCTGGTATCTGTTGAGTAGATGTACCCATCAGTGGCGTCGTTACAGCAGTGGTAGTGCGCTTGTGAAGGGCGGACATACGCCTTTGGTGAACTTCGATGTTGTCGATAGCAATATCGCTCCTCCAAACACCAATCACTGCTTTCTATTTGTTACCTGTATCCATTCAAAACATTGTGTCCAGTTCATTTAGTTAGTTTCCCCTGCTTTTGTAGTGTGGGGAAACACGGTGGCCTAATGGTTAGAGCGTTGGATTCCGGATCAAGAGGTCTGGGTTCGAGCCTGGCCTTGAGGTCAGTGTGTTTGTGTTTTGGAAAAGACACTTTACTCCTCGACAGGGAACCTCTCTCCACCCAGGAGTAATAAATGGGTACCGGCGAACAAAATGCTGGGGGTAACTGCGATGGACTAGCATCCCATCCAGGGGGAGTAGCAATACTCCTAGTTCGGCTTCATGCTACAGGAAACCGGGATAAGCTCCGGCAGTGTGGGCCAGTTTGGCCCAAGTGCGACTTTACCCTTAATTCTTTTGTAGTAAATTATCACCTGAGAATGTCAACCCTAACAGATAGACTGCGATCAGCTCCTAGGTAGGCCGGAAACGTGAGCCCCCTTCATTCCTCCGCAGTGGCTCCTTGGGAAATTTATGAAAGGGATAGGATAGAAACCCCCCTCCCCTCCCGATTCCCCCTTTCACCCCTCTCCCCAATATCCCACGTTTAACTTATAAGAAGCCTCTGCGAGAAGAAAGACGGCGAGCAGTTTGAAGAAGCCGGAGAGACCTGTTATCCACCAAGCGACTAGACCAGCGGACTGATGAAAGGCAAGCCAGCTTTCTCAGTGATCGGTGGGGTCGACTTCATATATTCCCTGTGCCATTTTGGCAAGAAATATTTTTTGTCGACTGAGGCAGAGATTCGTATGACAGGTGAGGTAAGAATTCTTTCGACTTACTTTCAAAACTGTTGCATAAATTCCTTAACAAAAGGTTGATTACTTTAATAAAATCGCGAAAAAAATGGTAAAAATTTATATTACGCGGTAAGTATTGGTTGACGAAATTAAAATGATGTTTTGTTAATATCAAGATATCATTGACTTAATGATTATCAGTTCCTGGACTCTATACCATATAAGATGTCGAGTTACAGGGAAGGGTTATGCGTGCCTCGTGCCACATGTCGCCCTTGGTCGCCATGACGACGCCATAACCGACTCTTCTTGACTCCGTCACCAAAACGATAAACAGATAGATACCCCATGTCTTGACCATGGCATATGATACATGAAGCGCATGCAACTGTAGGCCCCTTCAATACGCCGCTGATCAAGTTGCGCTGTCACCAAAGGCGACGGGGCTCAGAAGATTCCAAACATAGAGGTACTGACCTTAAGAAAGAAAAATGAGACTGAGGATCAGTTAAAGGAGCTACGTCACGGTTGGTGCATCTTCGCCATTCGCAATCCGTCTTAGTCTCCATCCTCAACCATCCTTGTTCCTGTTTGGTTTCAGTTATTACCTCTTTGGTGTTTTTCTACCTAGTAAACTATTATTTGAGGCTTTCTCAAATTTGGAATGTGATTTTGCACTTCGCAAAAATGACTTAAAATATCGTGGACATAGCTCCTTTAACACTATGAATGAGGTGTTCTCTTGCCTACTAGGGAGGTCACCGATAGTGCAGTGTTTTGCGTGGCACAGGTCTATGCATGCTATGCGGACGCCATAATTCCTACTAACAGGGTGTCTGATTAAAAGTGTTCGTTGTTGTGCGATGGCGAATGTTTACACGAGTCGCGTATAAAATCCGATACCATCAAAGGCAACCCAAGGCTAAGCCAACTCATGTCCCAAGTTCAACTACAAATTAGTTTTAGCACAGCACAAACAGGAAGCCTTTTCAAATCGCTGTTCAAAGCAGGATTAATAAGCTAGCCCGACTAGTGCCTAATTTTATTTATTTATTCTGCCTATTTTGGGAGCTTGATGTTTTTGCTTTGGCTAGTCTAAAATTATTAGCCAACGGATTAGAAACTTGCGTCAACTTTAATCTGAGATTAGCCTTTAATCGGCTTTCGAATAACCAAGGTGTCGAGTGCTGGAGGTGTCGAGTGCTGAGGTCACATTTTACCATCCAGTTGAGCGATTTTGAAAACGATCCACGCCATTTCGCGAAATAGAGTTTTGGACGAAAGAAGGTAGGAAAGCTTCTTTGAATGTGTATCAATCGAAAGATTCTTTAACCTTTTTAATTCGTATTTATAAAATATGCGCAAATTCCATGTTCAATATGATCAAAAAGCGCATAATCTACTAACTCTTATAAGTGGATGAACTCCTAGTGTGTGACCAATCAAATGAAAGCTATTAATAGGCTGTCTCTGTTAAAACCGCCATCGATTTGCTTTTGAACCTTCGATTTTTTCTCATATGCTAAGTATTTTAAAGGCCGTTTACCTAAGTAATCACTAAAATGAGTTTTATTTGATTAAAAATTATAATTTAACTTTGTTTTAGGATCGATCGAGTTTTCTCCGGTCGACACTAATTGGGTGTCCTCCCGAAACTGGGAAAACTAACGCATATTGTCGTCGCTGTGAAAAAATAAATATTCGCTCAAAAGACCCAATTCTTTTTTTAAAACTATAGCATATCATCGTAGTTTGTTTAGCCATGTTGCAATCCATAATTTAAATCTTGTTACTTTAACGATAAAAGTAAAAGATTCTCTACCACTAAATCGAGCCTTGAACGAAACCACGAAAATAGCTCAACTTTGAGGGCCCATTTTAAAAATGTGGCACCTGTTTGAAAACCGCTTAACTACATGAACAAAACTATAAAATGACCCTTAATTCAAACAAATAAAATTTGTTCAGCGCATCACGTATACAAAACAACGACTGCTTAAAGTTCAGGAAATTTTGAAAATATAAAAGTAACGGAACACACTCGCCTTTACAAGTGTTCAGATAATTTACTTACTTTAATCTCTACCTGGCTTTAAGATGTAAGTTTTGGCCTTTGCCAGTAATCCGTGAATCCTAGGTATTAATCATCAATCTTGTAGCTTATTTCCTCCAGTTATAGTTTTTACATACAAGGTCTGCAACGGTATTTACATTCATCATCAGATCTGTATCACGCGTGGACAGTCCCATCGCAACAATATAGTCAACGCTCTGCTTACCATACGTTGTTGAAGCCGCTTTGATCATAGTGTACATTCGTCTTAAAATTTTTGCAGAGATTATATTTTAGGAATACTACTACTAACAACAGATAAACTGCAGTAAACGTCAGTGTCGGGGATCGAAGGTAAATAAATGCCCGGCGGCCATCGTGTACTTGTGCATTCGTTTCCAGTCTCCTTTGTGAGTGTGATCCACAGATGAAATCGACAAGGTTGCAATGGAAGCGAATGTTCATTCTCGGAGTTGCAAAAATCTACTTGCGGTGAGTTCCGTGGTTCGCCATATGTTCCAGTGCGAAATTTCTGGAATGTAAATAAGACATTACGAGTCTTTACAAAGCTGCCACCTCTGCGAAGCTCATTGGAAATGTCGAAGAAATTATCTGATTCTGTTTAGGATTGAAATGGCCGAGTTATTATTTTATTCTTTCCTTCACAGCTTCGAATTTCGACTCACTCGCTGTTTTACTGTTGATATGATGTTTTGTAGTAGGCCCAAAAGGTACCCTCTGCAAAATTTTTCAAGAGGAATCTATTACATGAGTTCAAGTGGCTTCGAAACAATATGGTCAGCACCAAGGTCGAACGTATGCTACGTTGGCTCGTGTGACTGTCACCTCGATTTCCAGATCTCATGATGGGACGTAAATACTTTGTATGCATGAAAAACTTAGCTGGAAAAACGGCTACCACGATTGATAGTCATCTAGGAATTCAAGGATACTACAAAGGTCAAAACTTACATCTCAAGCAAGATAAGAGATTAAAGTGAGTGACAATTATCTGTGACAACTTGGTAATGGCGATTGTGTTCGTTACTTTTATATTTTCAAAATTTCCCTGACTTTAAGCGGTCGTTAGTTTGTATAAGTGATGTGCTGTACAAATTTTTATTTTTGTTTTGAATTAAGGTCATTTATAGTTTCTGTTTCATGTATTAAGAAGCGGTTTCAAACAGGTGCCGTGCCATTTTTAAAATGTGCCCTCAAGTTGAGCTATTTTCGTGTTTCGTCAAAGCTCGATTAGTGTGGGTAGAGAATCTTACTTTTATCGTTAAAGTAACAAGATTAAATTATGATTGCAACATGGCTAAACAAACTACGATGATATGGCCTATAGTTTTTAAAAAAGAATTGGGTCCTTTTGAGCGAATATTTATTTTACAGCGACGCGACAATATGCGTTATTTTTCCAGTTTCGGGAAGGCACCCAATTAGTGTCGACCGGACGAAACTTCGATCGATCCTAAAAAATTTAAATTATAATTTTAATCAAATAAAAACTCATTTTAGTGATTTACTTAGGTAAACGGCTTTCAAAATAAACTAGCATATGAGAAAAGAATCGAATTTTCAAAAGAAAGGTCGATGGTAGGTTTTAACAGAGACAGCCTCTTTAAGCAGTACTTTCATGTGGTGCTGTTTGTATCTCAATATTTTGAAATTGATGGGATTTTTTTATTTATTTATTTATATTATATTATATTTTATTTATATATTTTTATTTTTCCATTCTTGGGAGTTATGACTCACCTTCTCCTTTGTAACCAGCCGTTGGTCCAGTTCCCTCGCTGGGCGTTCCTCCCTCTATCAGCTGCCAGTCGAAATCATCGCTTTTATAATTTATCCATTCGCACATTCCTTCATCAAAGTGTGCAGTTTTCCTGGTTTAAAAAAATCACAATAAAGAATTTTGGAGAGTTCAAACTCTCACTCTCGTTTTGCCTGAAACTCTCATTGCGCTCTTCAGCGACTCTCGTCGACTTTCATACGCCTCTCATCGATCTCAGTGAATTTGTTCAAATTTTTTCTTGAGAGTCGTTGAGGAGATTTCTCTCGCTTGGCCCACGCTTCATGATAGTCCGATGAGAGTTGAAGAAAAACTCTCATGAGAGCCAACTCTCGACAGCTCTCATCCTCGTTTGGTACGGGCTTAACTCGTAGAAACACGAATGCTTGTAATCATTTACGGCGAAGAACCACGTGATCTTCACTCTACCACTGTGCACTAATGGGAAACGGTGTTTCCTCTGACTTATGCTCTACTTATAGAAGATAAAATCCTACGTGAAAAAACCTCCATGAGCACGAGAAATAAATTCTG